TAATTAAAATTGAAAGGACTCCGTTGTTGATGTCCGGGAGTTGATCGGATTCCGCTGTAGAGTGATCGGTAGGGAGGACGGCAACACGACGGGGGACAGAAGGGGTGGTTATTCCGGTTGTGTGGGTTGTGATTTTTTTTTTTTTTTTTTTTTGTGGATAAACTAAATATTGGCTGAACACATTGGGTGTTTGTTGAAGAATTGGGGGTTTTTCCGATAGGGAGGACGACAACACGATGGGGGACAGTAGGAGTGGTTTTTCCGGTTGTGTTGGTTGTGGTTTTTATTTATTTATTTATTTTTTATTTTTGGATAAACTAAATATTGGCTGAACAGATTGGGTGTTTGTTGAAGAATTGGGGTTTTCCACTTAGCTTGTTTGTTTATGTGTGCATTATGACGAATTGATGGTGGAAGAAGGGGTTAATTGCGGGAACATATAGGGTGTTTGATGAGAAATTGGATAGTATAATATGCAGAATAGGTAATAAAAATGAATATGCATAAATTGAATATAATATGTCATTTGCACAGTTTTGGAAAAAGATTAATGGGGGACCACAAACCTAGCAGTTGGAGAAAGAAAAAAGTATTGTTAAAGTGCAATAAAAGATTGCATAAAGTTTGTCTTTTGCGAAGTGTGTTTAGATAGTAAGCAAATGAATAGGAAAAAAGAGATGGGACACTAAAGCATGCCAGAACACGGGAGAAGAACAACTTATTAATTTGTGCAATAAAGTAGAAAAGACTTTTTTTTTTTTTTTTTTTTTTTTTTTTTTTTTTTTTTTTTTTTTTTTAGGATATGAAGTGCTGGGCATATGGAGTAATTTTATATATTTGTGCATGAATATGCTGAATAAGTGCATGTGTATATCAATGTATGTATCTGTGCATTCAAAGAGGGAGGCCTGTGCAGTGTATGAATCTGTGCATTCAAAAGAGTAGGTCCTGTGCAGTGCATTTGTGGATATGAATTGCTGGCCGTTTGGATTGATGTGTAAATTTGTGCATGAATATGTCAAATATGTGCATGTATAGCATATGTATCTGTGCATCCAAAAGAGTATGTCCTGTGTATAGTGTTTGAATGAAAGCCACGCTAATATGTAAAAGAAATTTTATGCATAGAAGAAGCCGAAAACCACAAAGGTGCGAGAACCACATGTAATGCAGATTATTGACAATTCCTCAGCAGAACAAAGATGAAATATATAACAAGATCCCTGAAGATTTGGTAAGAACCTCTCATTATATGTTTGTGAAAGTAGTAGAGTTAGAATGTGAAATATAAATAAAGGATATGTGCATGTGTTTGATTTAATAAAATGCATGAGTGATGGTCAATACAGTGAATGTTGGGCCATATAGATTTGTTTAAACCGGGAAGATGTGAGATATAAGAGTGCAACTGTGAATGATGTATATGAGCAGCTGCATTTTTAAATATATTGCATTTATGATACTTTTTAATGTGCAATGAAGACACTGCCGTGCATGTTGATAATAGATAATACTTTAGGTACTGTTATACATAATGAAAGAATGTGGTAGGACATGAGTTACTAACCGCAAAAATGTTATGTACGCAGAAAGACATGCTGTGATGCTTCATAGATGATATGAAAGACCATAAAAGAGCAGCTGACATCCTACATATGAACCAAAATGAATGCAAATGCGCTGGAGTATATGCAATGAGGCACATGGAGTGCTCATAGGAGAGTCAGCTAGGAGTTGGGATTGTAGGACTCAGCAAAGGAGACAAGTCCATAATAGCAACATTAAGGATGAAATACATGAAGGACATCCTACTGAGCGAGTGCAATGAGCAACACGGTAAAAACCTTGAAAGCTCACCAATATTCAAGAATGGAGATTTCACGCAACAAATGTAGATTACTTGCTTACCATAGAAGATGAAAATGATTTCAATGAAGACGTTGGATGAAAACACAAGTGAGTAAGGGGATTTGAAGCGAGTTTGGACAATAGTTTTTTAGAGTGAATTCCATTTTTGGTCCTACTGTTATAGGGGCGTTTCCAATTTTAGTCCACCTTAATTTTTTTGCCACTTTATAACCATTATTTTATATTGAATGTGTTCCACTTTTAGTCCCACCGTTAGTATTTCCATCAAGAGCCGTGTAATCTAGGGGTATTTTGACCTTTCTTCTCATCCAAGACTATGTTTGACTAAAGAAATAAGAACATTAAACCTAAAATCTAAGAAACCTCGCCGGCTCATGTTGGAACGAACGAAACGATGTAGCTTTGGCTTCCCATTCTCGTTGTTCGAAGAACCATCTTCGAATATCGGAGGAGGATGACGAAGAGCCTGGATTAAAAGAGAAGAGACAAACATAAAAATACCAAAATACCCCTTTGATTATACGGCCTCTTGGCGGAAATATTAACGGTGGACTACAAGTGGAACACATTCAATAACAGTGGTTGTAAAGTGGCAAAAAAAAAATAAAGTGGACTGAAATTGAATCGCCTCTATAACAGTAGGACCAAAAATGGAATTCACTCAGTTTTTTATGACATTAAGATGAAAGTGGTACTAGACAATTAATATGTGCAAGGAATTGATGTTTTTTGTTAAACTTTAACAGAATGCTTAATTGTGCTTTAGATTACTTGCTTAATCAGTGAAGTAGTCAAATATGCATTCATGGATAAAATTTCAGTAGAGAAATGAGGAACATGCTGGTTTATTTTTAGCCATTTGAATATGCATGAATATAGTTATGCTTAAACAGTTGTAGGATTACAGATACATATTCGAATCCCCAAATATTTAAAATATGTTAACAAGGAATGGATGTTCAATATATACATTTCGTGCATCAATGGTGTAGGTCTGGGTGCAATTACGACATACATCACATAAACGGTTTGTGCACCGACGATATTCGTTATTACACAATGAACGTGCAATTTAAACTAAACAAAGGTCGGCTAAATAGTTATTAAATCATGAAGCACTTGTGCAGCAATGTACAAATGACAAGTGCAAATCGTTTGAAGTGCAAAATCCCTATGTGGACAATTAATAAGTCTAGACATGCACATTGAGTGCACAATTAATAAGTCCAAACATGCACATTGAGTGCACAATTAATAAGTCCAAACATGCACATTACGTATCAAACACACCCACCACAAAAAAACAAATAAATACTATAAACACAGAGAAAACATATTGGTAACACCACACAAACCAAAACGTTAAAAACATAATAAAAAAAACCGCAAATGAATAAGAAATACACAAAAAAATTGAAAATGTTATCTACGTGAAATTAAAAACAGAAACAATTTGAGCAAAAAGGATTATACAGTGCACAAAAGGGGAATGTAACCAAAAACAAAACACATCCATTATTTGAATACCAAACGAAAATGTAGAACAAGAACGAGTGCATGGAGAATTAAAACATATAGAAATGTGTTTAAAATAAAATAGAATTGAAAGTGCGATGCGACCAAGTCCTCATATTTTTGCATTCCTCATCGGGCAAGTACGACTATTATGACCATACTTTTCACAGGTTTGGCATTGTCTTTGACGACGTCCAGACTTTTCGACAGCTAATTCCCTTGCACTTTTGAAACGTTTGCCAGAACCCTTGTTATTAGAGATAGGAGGATGACGAATATCAACTTGTCCATTGGGCGAGACACCGCAAAACGACTCAAATAAGGAACTTCCTGGTTACAATAAACCATAATTACAACAACAAAAAACCGCAAATGAATAAGAATTACAAAAAAAATAAAAATTGTTCACTGCAAAAAACAGGTAATAGGTATTGCAAAAGACTAAAATGAGAATAAGATACGAGTAAAAAAAAAAAAAACTCAAACAACACATGCAAGACATGATATAAAACCAACAAAAGAAACAGATGGAAGTTAGCTATATATCTAAAACCGTAGATTAGCTATATATCTAAATGAGAATAAGAAACGAAAAAAAAAACAAAACACCCCAACCCACCCACAAATAAAAAAAGAACAGACACAATTTATATATATGAAACCCACAATCCCAACAAACAAACAAACAAAATGAAGACAAATGAATAGATTTAAAAACAATACACAACGCTACAAGACGAATGAAGCCAGCGAAATACAAATGCACAAAAAAAAAACTACACAATAATTATATATTAAAACAAACGAAATCACAAACCTGGAGAATCCATAGCACAGAGAATGAAGCATGAATAAATAAAAGAGTCTGTAATCTTCGCCAAAACACAAACAAAGAATATGAAAAAGAGGCCGGAATGAAGAATATCTCTAATTACCAAATTTAATATCCCTAAAAACTATGGCAAATCAGCCGAAAAAAAAAATAAAGAAAGGAAACAAAAATGCAAAGACTAATCAGCCCCTACAGCAAGATGGCGTGAAAAAAGGAAAAAATAAATCCAAAAATAAACCAAAAAACAAGAGCCATAGATCCAACCAAAATCAAAGGTCAGATTTCGACCAAAGACCACATGTAGAAACATGACCTCATATGATCCTTTGTCTATATATATATATATATATATATATATATATATATATATATATATATATATATAGAGTTACAATCATATAAGAACCCAGGTAAGAACATAGGAACTCATCATAACCTTTAATTATATGAAATGTACGGTTGAGATTTTAATGAAATTAAATAAATACAAAGATGGTGCTGATTTAGGAGATTAAGAGGCGTATTTTTGGTAGTAGGGGTAGTTTGGCTATTTTGTTGTGTGATCGTGTGGGGGAGTGCGAAAAATTCGCCTGCTATTGAGTCCATCTTCTCGAAGGAGTCTGTCAATTCCTTTAATTTTGTGTGTCTCACAGTCTTCCTCCTCTTTTGCTATTTCGTCTTGTTCCTCCCGGTGCTGTATTCACCGTCGCTCTAATAAGGTTATGGAAGAATTCGTGTGAATTATGGAAGGATTCAAGTGCCTTTGAATTTCTGAGATTGTTCTGTGTATGATTGTGCGGTGGTTTTAGCGTGATACACAGTATTCAACGACATCTTGGAGCGGCGATGGAAGGCGCGGCTACAGGTAAGTATTTTTTTCCTTCCTTCTGATATGATGAAGGCTTGCCTAGGCTGTCGAGGAAGCTTAAAGATCAATTGATTTTGCACATGTCGAGGCTGAAAGTGCAGAAAATGGGATCGGTGTTATCAAAATGATGGGGATGCTATAGTGGTATGATTTGAATCCAGTCATTTGCTTACTACAAGAAAACAAAAGTATTTTATTAATTTATAATTTATACATGGTGGTATGCATTCCACTCTTGCTTGATGTTTTCTTATTTACTTTTAGACTTGTGATATGTTTGAGACTTGGAGGCAATACAAGCTTCAACTGCTTTATGCAATATAATTCCCATTCGTGAGATTTCATAATTAAGATGATTACAGTGTTTAGTATCAAAGTTATCTGTGTATCCATTTCTACTTCCAGTAAGTTAACTTTCTACCACTACGAATCCACTAAAATGCTCAAGCAATGGAGTTAACAAAATGAGTATATGTCATTTGTTTTCTTGTTAGGCGATCCTGCTTGGGCGAGGTTAAAACCTGGAAGTGGCTATGGAGACGGGCTTGGCATTCGCGTGGACTCTCCTTCAGTCCTTCGGGGCTTCGACTTGAATATGCCTTCAATGACCCGCGCGCATAGGAAGGTTTCACTTTGGTAGGAGGGATATGCCAAATCAATATCTCAAATAGGTTGATGACGATGGTGATTGTTTGTAGTGATTTTCTGTTTGTGTATGACAAAAACAAATATTTTATATTTTGTGTACACATGTTCTTTAATGCACATTCTGCTATTCTAATATGCACAAAATGCTCTTTATCCCAAGTGAAAACACTTAACAATTGATGTGCAAAATATATTTATCAAAAATGCACAAGATTCATAACAAATATGCACACACTTACGAACAAGTTCCTACCTCACATCTGTAACGCAATTGAATATCGTTATGCATGCGGTTCAACAATGTTTGATACCTGAGCTAATTTGAACAAGTAGATCAGTACATATGTTTTTTGTTTATGATGTTTGAGAGTTAATTCTTGGGTGTTTTGTCTTTTTTTTTTTTTTTTTTTGGTCTGACGCATCCCTATAATGTCGCACACAACATTAAACACGATTAGGGGGTATATACGAATGTGCAAGCAAACATTCCTTAACTCGAGTGCACGGTATAACAGGTTTCTTGAGCATGATGGCTCAAACTCGTTAATCCAAGTGCACAAGGTATTTTGTATAACAATTTTCTGTAGCATGATGGCACAAACTCGTTAGCCCAAGTGCACACGGTAATTCATATAACAGTTTTCTTGGCTATGATGGTACAAGCTCGTTAACCCAAGTGCACAAGGTATTTTGTATAACAATTTTCTGTAGCATGATGGCACAAACTCGTTAGCCCAAGTGCACACGGTAATTCGTATAACAGTTTTCTTGAGTATGATGGTACAAGCTCGTTAACCCAAGTGCACACGGTAATTTATATAATAGTTTTCTTGAGCATCATGGCACAAGTTCGTTTATCCAAGTGCACATGGTAATTCGTATAATAGTTTTCTTGAGCATCATGGCACAAACTCATTTACCCAAGTGCACACGGTAATTTGTATAACAGTTCTTTTGAGCATCATGGCATGCACAAGTTCGTTTACCCAAGTGCACATGGTATTTTGTAGAACATTTTCTTGAGCATCATGGCATGCACAAACTCGTTAACCCAAGTGCACATCGTAATCTATCGACTCAAGTGTACACAGTTCAACTCAAGTGCACATCGTAATCTATCGACTCAAGTGTACACAGTTCAACTCAAGTGCTCACTATCCACTAGTCCTACACATTATGGCACAGTGTACCCCATGTGCACATCCCAACCTAAGTGCATGTTAACTTGCTTTACGCCTATTCATGGACACACTAATTTTACACATTATGGCAGACATGGTGTGACCAATGTGCACACCAACTTCTTTTATGCGTTTTTGTGCACATACTAATTCTACACAGAATGACACACACGGTGTAACCCAAGTGCACACCATAGTCCATCACATCATTCTGGTTAATCCCAGCCAATATTGGCTTTGCAAGCTGATGTGGTTAAGCCACATTAGCATTTTTTTTATTTATTTTTTATAATTAAGGCGGTATGCAAACCGCTGACAAAAGCTGCCGCGGCAGCTTTTATATTATATAATTTTTTTATTGTTTTTCTTTTACTTTTTAATATTATTAATATTGTTATTTTAATATGTTGGGCCCACTTTTGAAAGTTGATTAGATTTGTAGGGATGTAGTGTGAATAGTAGATGATTTGCAAATAAGATGATGTGGAAGTGGGACCTATTTTTAAGAGTGGGAGAGATTTGCAGGGATAATGTTAGCCTAATATTTCATTTTGTCAATATCACCGTTCATTTTGGCACACACAGATAAACCAAGGTGCATATCGATCCGTACTATGTCTTTTCATAACACACTAATTATGCACATTATGGCACACATAGTGTAACTCAAGTGTACACATAAACATGTTAAATTAAGTTGTCTTACGTTTATTTATACACAAATAGGCTTTATTGACGCTTCACACTCTGGAGTTCAGTATTTCGTTAATCCAGGTGAAATATTCATTAAACACCGGGATGAACTCCCGGCCTGATGAGCGTGCCGACATGATATTCAAAGCATTGAAATGATTATTAACTCAAATTTTGTTTCATCTATATGGCACAAACATTTTGTTTCATTTTGTGGCTAATACTCTGTGGTTATTTTGTCTTTTATATATTAGGTTATTTTTTATCTTTCTTTATTCCTTCATATTTAAACAGCTTGTAAGTGACTCATTCTGCTGCTAGCTTTATGTATTAATTACTTTGGTAGATTATACGCATCGATATCTTGATCTACGTCGACCACAAATGAGTTCCAACATATTCTTGCGACATAGTGTGGTGAAATTGATGCGAAGGTACTTGGAGGATGAGCATGATTTTGTGGAGGTATTAAATCAGTGATGTCATTTGAATCTCTATATCAATGCATGATGTGATGCTTGATGTTATGGCACACACAGTTTAACTCAAGTACACAACGTAGTCTTTAACACCAATCTGGTTTTGGTACATGCACATATTCGTTAACCTAAGTGCACACGATATTTCGTATACTTGTGCATGCACATATTCGTTGACCTAAGTGCAAATTATGGCACACACAATGTAATCCAAGTGCAAACAGTTCAACCAAAATGCCCATCCTATTCTATCAACCCAAGTGTACACCAACTTGTTTTACGTCTTTTCATCCACACATTCATTATTTACGTTGTGACACACACAGTTTAACCCAAGTGCACAACATAGTCTTTAACATCAGTATGATTTTCATGAATTCATTCTTTCAGTATTTTTACACATCATGGCACACACAGCACAATCCAAGTGCACACCAATATATATGTAATGTTACGTTGGAATAATTCTACAATTTATATCCTTTCAAAAAAAAGAATTCTACAATTTATATAATTAATATAAGAAGACCTGTAAGATTTGAAGCTTCATGTTTAAATCCAAACTCATAAACAATCCTAATTAATTCCAAACTCATAAACAATCCTTCTTTATGTTAGCCACCTAAAATCAAGGAAAATATTACGATTAAATATTTTCTTTTAAGTGGATGATGAGTAAACTGACACCATTATCCCATCTAATTAAATTGTAAATTGATCTTGATCATTAATTTCTAATTTTTTGATAGCTTAGATTGGTTCCTAGGTTCCTACCTAAGGATGGTTCCTACTTGAATCCTCCCCTATATATATATATATATATATATATATATATATATATATATATATATATATATATATATATATATATATATAGAAAGGTTCCCGTGCGGACAGGGACGGAGCCAGAAATTCGATTGAGGGGGGGCGAAACAGTACAGACGGATTCAGAAAATTTTTCCAGAAAAGGCGAAACATTAAAACAAAAGAGATAATTTAAAAATAAATAAATAAACTACCTAAGAAATATAATTGTAAATATTGTTGGATATGGACGAAAAATAAAACACATCGAAACTTTATAAAAATATTCATAACAAAATATGAAACATAATTAATAAAATAATTTGAATAGAAAACACATTAAAAATTACACATCTTATTATAGAGTGTGTGTGTGTAATATTAAAAAAGCTATTAAAAAAGAATTGTAAAACTATGTTGATGCTAAAATTTTAACCCTTAACCTCATTATTACCAAAGATAGGCTCTACCATCTACTCTAACTCACTTCTTGTTAACATTTTATAGTTTTTTTATACTAATACTAAAACATGTACTATATATACATATATACATACAAATACTATATATATGGTGGGGGTGGGGTGAGGGGGGGCAGCCCCCCCTGCCCCCCCTCTCCCTCCGTCCCTGCGTGCGGATGTGCGGTGGATTAATGTACGTGAGATTTGTACTCAATTTGCGTGAGTGTTGTGCTTAATGTGCCTGAGATTTGTACTTAATGTGCGTGAATGTGTAAAATGCAGCAGAAAATATTGATGTCAGCTTCTTCCCCATTCCCAGTAGCCATTTGCCCCCTCCCTGATGATGATGATGCGGAGGCGAGCTATGGTGGTTAAAAATTACGGGAATAATACAACAGAAATCCACACTTAGCTGCTGTGCAAATCTTACTGTGCGTGCGTCATTTATATAAACATTCAACTGCACTGAAGGTAGCTGATAATCCAGAATCCATGGCCAAATTGAGTGAAGAAGTAACAAGAAGCTTGGGCGTTAATGTGCGTGAGTTTCTGTTCTGCTTTTTTCTGAGCTCGTAATTCTGAAATACGCACGCACATTAAGCACAAATCTCACGCACATTAAACACAATACTCAGGCACATTAAGTACAAAACTCACGCATATTAACATGACGAACATTAAGTACAAATCTCAAGCACATTGAGTACAAATCTCACGCACATTAAGTATAAACCTCACGCACATTAATCCACCGCACATCCGCACGGGAAGCAACAAATGCACCTGATCCCTTCCCTATATATATATATATATATATATATATATATATATATATATATATATATATATATATATATATATATATATATATATCCCAAAATAGTTTTCCCAAGTAATATAAGTACCATAGTCATAATACACTCTAATCAAATATAATTCCATATATCATAATGGATACGCATTAATATTTGATGCACCGCAATGCTATACACTGGCGGTGAATGAGGAGATGACACATCATTAAAGAATAAAATCAATGTTAATCGGGTCCTTTTTTTGCAAAATATCTAAGACTTGTATTATTTTAGGAAATTCTTTGATTTCTAATTAACAAAATATATCTACTTTCCTAAACATATTTATTATATATTTAATTATCTAATTATTAATAATGATAACAATTCTAAAATCTGTAAAACAATTCACATTCAGTAATCTGTTACTACGTATCACTTATAATAATAATAATAAATTTCTAAATCTGTTATCATTCCTGTAAAATAATTTGACATACATTTAGTATCTAATTATTTCTTCTGTTTTTTTTTAAGAAATTATTTCTAAATTATTATATTTATTACTAAGAATTCTTTAATTTTAATTAACAAAAGTCATCTAATTTTCTATATGTATCTTAACTCCTAAATCTATTTAAACTCCTAAACTCCTAAATTTAAATTACAACCTTAGTCACTATTAGA